AATAAACTAAATTAAAAAAAAACTTAAATGGATGTGACCATCGGATGTTGCACATCCATTGATTATAATTAATAAAAAAATGTATAACTTAATTAAATTAATAATAAATATTTAATTAAATAAAATAAATTATTTATTACGTAATTACATATAAATTAATTTTATTTAATAAAATAATTATTATTAATTTAATTTATGTATTATTATTTAATTATTTATTTAAATATTTTTTATATAATTACTTAAATGATCGAACGCTACTTGAAAACGGCTATTCTGCTCAAAAATGAAATAGTCCAAATGTTCCTGGAAATTCTTGCTCCCATTGGACCATTTGTATCTATATACATTAGGATCCAAATTCATAGATCTCTCCGTTCGAGAAATCAAAATAAGAGGATCGAACCATTTCTTCTTACCCTTTTTTCAAATTTAATAAATGTTGGTTGATCGTGTATTTCATTCTAATTCCATGATTCAGAGTATCATTTCCTATTTGAGACCTTTGAATTTCATATTTTTTAAATTTTTTTTAAAATATATTACGTAATTATATATAAATTAATTTTATTTTATTTAATAAAATAATTATTACTAATTTAATTTATGTATTATTATTTAATTATTTATTTAAATATTTTTTATATAATTACTTAAACGGTGTGCCACATCCGTTAAGGTTTTTTTTTTAGTTTTTAGTTTATTAATTTATTGTATTTTAAATTAATATCTAAATATTATTTAAAATTTTTCTATATTTTAAATTAATTTATAAAGTATTCAATTTTTTTATTTTTTATAATATATTATGTAAATAAAAAATATTATTAAAATAAAATTTAAAATAAAAACAATAAACTAAAATATAAAAAAAAATTAAAATATGTAAACGGATGTCAACCTCCATTGAAGGTGAAACAGATGTTGACATTCGTTGAAGATGAAACGGATGTTAACATTCGATGAAGATGAAATAGATGTTGACATCCGTTTTATAACAAGGGTAAGTTGGGTATGGGGTGGTGCAGGGAGCATTTGATGGTGGTGGAGGGAGCAACACTCCTAATATTGGGCTCATGCCCACTCATTAAGGCCCATTTAAAATGAAAAAAAATTACTTTGATCATATATTAGGTTCATCGAAGATTTTTTACATAATTAAAAAATAAATAAAAAATACACTTTATAAAAAAAGAAATTATGATATATTTAATAATATGTATTATACAACATTTTGCATCTCTGTCTAATATTAATTAAAAAAATATTAACATATTTCAAATACTTAACATGTATAATTAAAACAATAAATATTTATAAAAATGAAAAAAGAGTTTGTATCACTATGAAATTGACAATTATAGTTAAAAGTAGTAATCAAACACTTCCTTTAATTCAACCTTTTGTATTGCAAAATATAATATCTAATTAGTTAAAATATCATACAACATACATAAAAAATAAAAAACCGTACAACCATATTATTTATTATTGATGTCTTTAGATATATTATCTCCTTGACTAGTTTGCTCACACACACAAAAAAAAAGTATTTTCTTTTCCTTCCTTTGCATCTATAATTGATAATACACTAAGAATCAAGCAAGTAACCGTTTCTGTAACAAGTACAAATAAATGTTATAACAAATTCAGTAATAATTTAATTTACCAGAAAATCCAACTTGATCATAATCATACAACCAATTATGAGTACAAATGAGAACTTACATATTTATCAGAGTAAACAATTTTTGTACTTAACAATGTTAACTACAGATTTTAAAGTCATTGTCGTGATTGAAATACTTAAAATGCCACGTCATAAATGCAAAATTGGGGGAACCTATGCTTATTCAACCTCCTATATTGGAGGACATGTAAGTATTCACCAAAAATACATACAGATCAAGAATAAAAAAATTTAATATTTCTGATATCAACAAAAATAGGCTAAGCTTTAAAAACATTTGCCCAGATAAAAATAGGTTTTTTTTTTGCCTGGCCTAAGACACTAAGGCTATGGGGGTGAAAGAAGAAATTCCCTATTTAATCGTTGGTAGCCACATCTTCCATAAGCATAGAAATTGTTTATTCCCCACAAATGTGCAAACCCTGCAAACCTCTCTTTTGTAATCGTGATTGATTGTATGATTACAATCAGATTGGACCTTCTCTTATATTTAAATTATTATTGAATTTGTTATAATATTTATTTATGCTTGTTATAAAACCAAACAATTGTTCTTTTTTGTATTATCAATTCTAGACGCAAAAGAAATGGAAGAGATATAACCTTTATTTAGCAAACTAGTGAAGGAGATAATATATCGGAGGTCAATAACAAAGAGATGATACATTTTTTTTAAGTATGTTACATAAACATTTTGGCTAATTGGATGTAATTTTTCTAAGTAAATGTTGAAATACTAAAAGTGTTTAGTAGTCTTGAGAGGGCTTAGTTGTTTTTTGTGATATGTTAATTAAGTTTATCAATTTCACAGTGATATGAACTTTTGGTTACTTTTATAAACCTTTTCATGTTTTAATTACACATACCATATATGTAAGAAACATTAATAAAGTTATTTCAAATAATATTTACATTAGGATGTACGATGATGTATAATGCATTTACTAAACATTAAACTTTAGAACTTTGATCAATAATATTCCGTAATTATTTTGCATGGACAGATTGTAATTTTTTTTTAATAATGTTGATACATGAGCAAGAAATATACGTCGCAATGTGTCAGAAAAAATATTGTGGAGGATAGTTAATTTTATAAAAAGGTTGAAACATTTTATATAATCATATAAATAAAAAATTAAAATATAGAAATTTTAAAACTTTAAGAGAGGAATTTGATCATTTAAATTTAGAAAATTTTAAATTATAATTAAATAGTAAGAATTTTGAACTTTTGAAATTTTTTTAATTAATTCATGTATACATTTTTCATTTTTTTTATTCCATTATCGTTTTGAAATTGAGATACAGGTACTTTAACACATTTTACTAACAATAATGAATATTTGTCTCATTACTAACAATAATGAATATTTCTCTCATGTTAACAATCGATTGTGGTCAATTTTCAGATTTATTTTGCAATCATTTTTTTTACCAACATTAATGATATATGTTTCCATTGATGTCATTTAAAATTTTTTTATCAATGTCAATAAAATTATTCTTTTATGATGTTAGTCATAAAATATTCATTATTGTTAGTCATAAAATATTCATTATCGTTTGGAACCGCTGCACTGTCGAATGACCACCGCAAACACCCTACATCGCCGCACCACGAAAAGCCACACCACCACACCACAAAATCAAATGGATATGGAGACAGGAATATGAAGAAGAACCAAACGGATATGGAGAAGAGAAGTAAGAGTTGGGAGATGAGAAGAAACGAATCCGATGAGAGTTGGAGGGGGTGAGAATATGGAAAGAGAGAAAGTGAGACTTGGAAGAGTGGGAGGTGGGGCTGCGCGAGTGAAAATGGGTAAGTAAAAATAGGTAGGAATTTAGGGTTTCAGAATAAAGTAAATAAATAGGGTTAAAAGTAAAAAAGGCTATTTTTGTAATTAAAAAAATTGTAGAGGATTGGGGAGGTGGAGGGAGAAGGGGTGGTGGTGGAGGGAGCAACACCCAAAAAATTATGACCGATTTTAAAATATGAGTGTTGCTCCCTCCACCACCACAGCATGCTCCCTGCACCTCCTCAAATTCTTTTATTTCCAAAACTATCCTTAGGTTAAAAGTTAAAACTTTTTTACTTTTACCACGAAGTTTTAATTTTTTTCCCAAACCCTAATTTTACCTTCTTCATATTCCCCGAACACAGCAACAGATATGAATTTTCATCATTCAAATTTAAAAGATTAATTAACTAAAATTCAATAATAAGTATTAGGTATAATCGAATACATGATAGTTTTATACTTTATCAACAAAAGATAATTAAAAATCCATATCTAAAATGGATGCAAGTAGGTAGAAGAAGATTGAGTTGAAATGAGAGTCGGGTATAACTGCTGCATTCACGGAATATGAATAAGGTAAAATTAGAGTTTGAGAAATAAATTAAAAATTTATGATAAAAGTAAAAAAGTTTTAACCTTTAACGTAAGCATAGTTTTGGAAATAAAAGAATTTGAGAAGGTGCAGGGAGCTTGTCGTAGTGGTGGAGAGAGCAACACTCTTAAAATATAGATTAGGTTGAACCACTAAATTTGTTTAAGTATAATTTCTTCCTGCACCTCCATAACTTTCTTCTGAACCCCGTAATTTCTTTCCTATTTTGCCATTTCCTGATTTTCAAGTCTAGAAAAAAAAATTCTCCATTTTGCAATCCCAAAGTTATTTTTGACTTTCAGATTACACAATCCCAAAAGCTTTAAGATTTCGGAATCTAGAAATCAAACAATAACTTCTAAGTTATACAATTTGGAAAGGGAAAAATAGAATAAAAAATTCGAGCTTGAAAGACTGCCTTGTTTGAGTTGCCCGTAGGATCATGCTCGGTGGAGCCAGACCACCAATTTGACAATCCCAGTTTTAATAGCCTCGGATAAGAAAAAGGTGAGCGAAAGATGTTTTAATCACTTTGTCAATAAAACATTCCCATGGGTGATTGTAAAGTTACTAAGCTTTTCCGTAACAACTGAATGTGCTCTGCAATTTTCTTCAGGAATCATATTCTTAATCTTAATCTTAATAATCCCATTTCCAAAAACAATTACTTGGGAAGAAAACGACTTTTTATTCCAAAAGCCACCTACTTTTCATCTTCATAATGTCGTGTAATAATATTTGGATTCCGAGAAATAAAAAGAGAAACACAAGGCTGTGAAATATGGTTTCACGGAAGATGAGGATTAACATAAACGTATTATGTTCTGAGGTATCATCTCATCGGCTAATAATAAATTGAAGTATGTGATTGTGTTCTGACATGCAAAATGTTCGACAATTGCAACAGTTGTGATTAATTGAAAACAAAACTCTTTACTTTCTTTATCATGCACATTCTACTAGATTAACAGTGTGCACGTAAAATCGTTAGGTTTAAGCTATCATTACAGATTACACCTCCTTACATGCAACGATGTGTAATTTTAAATGTATCTTGATGGTTCAATATATTTCAGATAAGCTTATGAATAATGCATCAAGTTAGGATGCAATTGAAATAAAGAGACTAAAGTGACTTAGAGGCACCTTGAAGAGACTTTTCGAAGTCCTCCAGCTGACAAATAAAACCCTGATTGGGACGTGCTTCTGGTCGTATACTCCTTACATGTTGCAGAGCTTCAGAAAGGCTCATTCCACGAGTCCTCATCAGATATGCAACAACTATAGTCACACTGCAAGGTGTAACATTATTAGCAGCAATTTTCATCAGTTCATCATCATAAGAAAATAAAAATAACAAAACAACAAATATACCAAGATTTTTTTTAAGAAGTTCAGATTTGGGCATTAAAATGCAAGCAAGAGTTTCATGCAGAACTGAAGTTACGGAAGGAGATAATTAACCACTCTTGAAATTCAAGCTACATCCTTAATTCTATATTTTAAGTATGTTAACAAACTTAAGCTTTAACTTATTTCTTAGATGTTTAAAAATTTGACAGCATTTGAAAATCGAAGCAAGAAATAATGATTTGATAGTCAACAACCTAGAAGCAAGAAAAATAATGATTTGATTCAACTCATGCCACACGAACCTTTCTTACTATTTAAAATTTTCAATACATGCAAGTGGAAGAATCCATACAAAAACAGATTCCAGAAAAAGAAAATAAATGAACAATGAAGCAGAGAAAACAACAAAAGGATACCAATAATACTCAAGGCTACAACAGATTTACAGTTTTCTATATGAAAACCATTTCACATTTAGCACAACAGTCGAAAACTTAAATCCAACACATCATCACACATATGATAACTATACTTGTTCAAAACTTTGTTACAATAGGTTTCAAGAAATACTGTCATATAACAAGATATGTAAAGATATTTTACAAGGAAAATGAACACTGGTGTGCCCAGTGCAATCTTTGTAACAAAATTGTAAGGCAAACAGATGTTTACCAGACTTTTCATGTAAAACTTGTTACTTAGACTCATGTGCGAGCGATTTTCTATGTTATCACCACTATATGAAAAGGAGTGAACCCTGGAGCAACCTTAAAGTAAGATTGCCGCTTGTGACCTAGTGATGGCAGGCTCAAATCCTAGAAATAGTTTTCCATTCGTGGGATTTAAGGTCGTGTCTATCCTCTCCACCGCCCTTCCAAAGACCTCACTGGGTAAGAGCCTTGTGCATTGGGGGCCACCTTTTATATCAGTGGGTATCGGAGCCAGCATCCGAAGGCCAATGGATAATGAAATACACGTTGGGTCTATTAGAGATAGTTTTACATAGTTAAACAGTTAAAATAACTGTTGCTGCTGTTACTGTAAGTATGTTTTCTGTTAGAGGAAGTGTCCTCCTCTTTTCTTGATTACTTAGCTCTATATAGCTAAGTCCTTGTACTTTTCAATGGTTCAGTTGATCAATCAAAACACGAGAGATGTTATTCAGTTTACTCTGTTCCTACAAGAGTCTAGTTTTTTTTTCTCGTGAAACAGTGTTCCACATAATTTAAACCAGAAAATGCACGAAATTATCAAAAACAGGAAGTGATCGCACGTAAACAAGGGAGAAAGGAATAGAAGCTACCTCCTTGATCTTCCAGCGAAACAGTGAACCAAAACACCTCCACCGAGTCTTTTGGCTTCATCAATAAAATCAAAACACTCATTGAAGTATTGTCTTAAGTCTTCATCGTCTTTGTCAACAACTGCCTCAATTTTCCCACAAAATCATATATTTAGTATGGACACGGTACTAGATAGTAACCTTATATACTTTGACAGCAACAGCATACAAAACTTTGAAGAGACAAAGCATGCACTTTCAGAATAGCAAACAAACACAATTGTTATCCTAAAGCGCACAGGGTAATCCCATTCATTGTGAATTCAATTATAAGTCGTGAAACACCTTTCAATGGCAACAAATCCCAATCAGAATAACCCTACATCAATTTTAAAATCCGCTCATCGATCACCAGTCACAAACATTTATAGATCGATGTGAAATGCAAAACAAAGTTTGATTCAAAGAAAATTAGCATACCATGTATAATTTTATAGACAAAATCATCAGGATGTGCAGGTGGTATTCTACCAGCCACAGTCAAAATGTGAGTAATATTATGGTCTTTCAAAGAAGCTTTGTTAACTGCAGTGCCAATCGAACCCAAATACAGACCCTGCATCCATAACACACAGCAATAACAGAATAACAGCCTTTAACACAAACAGAATGCATTCAAAAGAAGTCCTAATGAAATTAGAATTGTACCTCATCTATTTTGAAAGGACTTTTGTCCTTTTTGTAGGCTTGAAATAAATGCCAAACCCGTGCGATAACTTCTATTTGCCCATTCATGCATTTGTCAAATTGTTCTATAGCCGCTGAGGTGCTCATTCTCGATCCCCTTTAAAACAATAAACATCAATTCAATATTAACATGAATCGTTGATAGTCAATAAATAAGAAACGAAAATCGAACACGGAACACAAACTGATTGCAAAATATTCTGGTAAAAAAGGTTACGATTAGAGCAGATGGATGTGAATGCGATATAGTGTTTTGCGAGGAAGGAGAAGAACTTACCAACAAAGCGTGCAAATTGATTGCTGTGAAATATTTGTAACAAACTTATTGCTTTCTTCCCTTTTTCTTCGTCATCAAAATCCTTCTAATAAAGTAATACTTTATTTATTTATCTATTTATTTTTAACTCCACTTCTACCTCCTATTTGTAGTTTATTATTCCTCCTCCTACCAGTGAGAGATAGGTATAGAACTATACTGATATGATAATATGAAATTAAGATCACGAATTTTGAACCGGAGTTTGTTCTATTACAAAATATTTTATAAGCTACAATAAAATTAATCTTAATTTATTAAATCTAACATAAAATTTCCCAAATTTGTTCTAACTTGACGAATGGAGCTTTTAGTAACAAACAAATGTTTAACTTATCATATATTCATAATCACTTTTAAAAGAAAAAAAATTCCTAACTTAAAACACTGTCAAAACTTTTTCACAAAATTTTCCTATATTTATTTTTTTAGAATTTATATACCGACTAGTTTTAGCCCTAATTTATAAAATATCTTATTTAAAGACCACGTGAATGAATTGTACAACAAAATGGTTATTTTTATCACCTTAAAAATATTTATTTTACATAATTATTTAAAAAATATCATTCATAAATATATTTTAAGTATTTATTTTTTTAATACATAATTGAATTGTTATATTAATTAATTTTATTATTTATTTTCTTTAAAATACATTTTTATATACAGAGAGAGAGGAGAGAGACGAGCTTAGATGAACCAGAGCCACAAATTCTCAAATAAAAAAAGTCGATAACAAACAGGACAGAGAAACTATTTAGCACGTGAAAGAAGTTAAAAAAAAATATATTTTACTGTTAAAAAAAGGATAGGTGACAAATTATTTTTTCAGTGAAACTCAAGATATGATTGATATTTTGAATATCGTGTCAATCAAATATTTTAATAATTATTTAAATTTTTACAATCTATTAAATATTTAAAAAATCGTATTTTTAATAAATTTTTATTATTTTTAATTTTTTATTGATTAGGTGATATATTTTAATTGAATTACGTGATTGTTATTTTTGTTATCGTTTTATATAATTTTCATGTAATTTTTTAATTTTATATAATTACATTCTTAGAAAAAATATTTTAAGTTTCCAGAATTAGAAAATGACTTTTTTTCACTTTCTTTTTAGTTTAAGAATTAAAATAGTAAATTTAAAATTTGAGAGACTGAAACAATCATTTAATAAAATAAAATTTGACAATTGCAGAGACTTAAAAGGTATTTTAGAAAAATATATATACATTTATTTTTGTATAGTATTTGACCAAAAATGGTTTGAACGAAAAGCTAAAACATAATTTTAAAAATTATGAGAAGTAGAAAAATGAATTTTAAATTTAAATTGAAAAGTAAAATTATCTAAGCTGTAAAGTACTAGAAGCACATTTGTTTAAAAAAAACTTGTAAAAGAATGACAGGTAGTATTGTTTTACACACTATAAAAACACGTGTATATCACGCATTACATGGTTACACTTACACACCCTTGCCCACTTGCTAATTATTTAATATATATTTTTATAAATCAAACAATCTTGGCTTTTATATTTTATATTGAATTCAATAATTATTTTTTTCTAAATCTCTGGATCTTATTACATTACAAACTTCGGACATGCGCTACCAGTTAAAATGACGAGGGAAATCAATGAAGAAATAAAGAAGAAAAAGAAGGAAAAATTCAATACTTAAAAACAATCACCAACAGAATTTGATTAATCTAGATAAAACTAAATATAATTAAATTAAAAAATTAAACTAATTTAATTTATTTGGTTTGGATTCTTGAATTCAAAATAATAAATTCTTCCAATAAGTCACTTTTATAGACTGGTGGTCAAATTAAAAAGTCAAGATGGAGTATTGAAAGAACAACTAGTTGGCAATAAAAAATATGTTGAAGTTTGTGTTGTAAGCTATGGTACTATCTTTTCGTTGTAAGCTAAAGACTGGGAATAAAAATTCATATCCAGAGACAACAACTTTGAATGGTTCATGAGTAATAAACATGTGAATCTAAGGATTTTTTAAAGTTTCGCAATTAAATATATTATATGTTGATAATATAGTCAGATGTAAAGAAAATTGATTAATAATGAAGAGTAGATCTTACAGCATTTTGGATGAGGTATATGAAAAGGAGACCCCAAAGGAGTTACCGAGAGATATTTCAGAATGGCTACTTCGTGTGACATACTCCATTTCTTCATCTTCTCAATAGCTCTGCTTTCACTGCTGTCTTCATCTTCGTCGTTGGCAGTGAATGCACCATCTAAACCCCATGCCTTCATCCTGCCCATCGAGAAAGACCCAAAAACCCTTCAGTACTCAACTTCCGTGGAGATGGGCACTCCTCCGTTCACACTAGATCTAGTCATTGACATAAGAGAACGTTTCTTATGGTTCGAGTGTGGCAGCGACTACAACTCCTCAACCTACCACCCTGTCCGATGTGGGACCAAGAAATGCATCCAAGCCAAAGGCACCGATTGCATCACATGCATCAACCACCCTCTCAAAACGGGATGCACTAACAACACCTGCGGGGTTCAACCATTCAACCCCTTCGCCGGCTTCTACGTCAGTGGCGATGTCGGACAAGACACCCTCTCCTCCGCGCACTCCACAACCCGTGCAAGAGCACCCTCCAATTTACACGTCCCGGCCTTCGTCTCTTCCTGCGTCTACCCGGATAAGTTTGGGGTCGAGGGCTTTCTCCTGGGCCTGGCCCGCGGCAAGAAAGGAGTATTGGGCCTTGCAAACACTGCTATTTCATTACCAGCCCAACTCGCAACCAAATACAAATACCACCTTCAACGCAAGTTTGCGCTCTGTTTACCTTCCACTTCAAAATTTAACAAACTCGGGGATCTCTTTGTCGGTGGCGGCCCTTACTATTTGCCACCTCACGATGCTTCCAAGTTTCTAACTTACACTCCCCTCGTTACCAACCCCCATAGCACAGGTCCGATCTTTGACGACGATCCTTCCGCGGAGTACTTCATTGACGTTAAGTCAATCAAAGTTGACGGGAAAACTGTGAACGTTAACAGCTCTCTGTTGTCTATTGACAAACAGGGAAACGGGGGCACAAAACTGAGCACCGTTATTCCTTACAGCAGGTTGCACAGTTCAATCTACCGGCCTCTGGTGGATGGTTTCGTGAAGAAAGCAGCGCTTAGGAAAATGAAGAGAGTGGCTTCGGTGGCGCCGTTTGGGGCGTGCTTCAGTTCGAGAACGGTTGGGAATGTGCCAGCAATAGCTCTGGTCCTTGGAGGTGGGGTTGAGTGGAGAATCTATGGGGCAAATTCTATGGTGAAGGTTAACAAAAAGGTGCAATGCCTTGGGTTTGTGGATGCAGGTTTGGAGCCTGGAAGTCCCATAGCAACCTCCATTGTTATCGGTGGGTATCAGATGGAGGACAATCTTTTGGAGTTTGACCTTGCTTCTTCAAGATTTGGTTTTAGCTCCTCCCTTTTACTCCACAATGCTACCTGTTCCCATTTCAGACTCCTTTGATATTTCCCTTCAACGTTTCCTTAATTTCGTCATCAATAAATTTCATTTTCCCTTGTAATCGTATTTATCACGTCTCGTTAACTTCTCGGTTTCGGTCTCTTCTATATCTCGTTAACTATGTCGAAATTCAATAACAAATATTTTAAAACTTAATTTTTCATCAATTTCTCACTTGAAAGCGTAGAGATAGATTTCCCATTATTACAAATCTCAAACACTCGTGTATGGATATTACGTGAAATAGATCGTTACGCATATCTCTTTCTTTTTCCTCTAATTATTTACTATTTATATATTTATATTGAGATTTCAAACATCTTTTAGGCCTACCTGATTTTTTCTTAAATGTGTTAAACCTACTATACATGAGACAAAAATATATGCTTTTATGATATTGGTTGATCAAATCAACAAACTCATTAAAAAAAGAAAAAGTATTGTTATTCACATATTTATAGAGATTTTTTATTCAAATTTTCAGTTCGGAAACTATAGAAATTAATCATTTAACTATCATTTAATTTATCTCCAAATAAAACGAGTCATATAGTAACATTTTGAGAGATAATCATTTTATTATTGTTCTTATCTTTTGTAAAGTTTATATATATATTAAAAACTTCATTATATTATAAATCTTATTATAGTAAGCTACTCGCTCTAAAAATACGTTATTATGGTTTTTGGTTAACTTAAATATTAAAGTATATAATGCACATTAAGCTTTATTCCACACTTAAATGACTAAACGTAATCTCTTTGGAGTTCAGAGCTCAGTGCAAAACATTTACCTATATAACAACTTCTCCAGAAATGGCTGGTAAGAACAATTTAAATTCAATTTGTTTTAAATGTTTATCAACATACGTAGAAGAGTGTAAAAAGGAATTGCTATTACATTATGCCAATTGATGTGAAATGAACTTAGTTTTTTAGCCTTCATCCAATAAACACATCATTGTGAATAAGAAGATACAGAGAACATTATATAAATCCATGATGTTCCTTAAAATGAAAATTAAAGCTAAAGGATAAAGGAGATGAGCAGGAGCAAATAAATTAGAGGAGGTCAGGGACACTTGTAATTTCGATGCAAAGCACTTCCATTTTGATTTGTATAAAAGTTATTGTTTAATACCAATTTGTAAGAATATGATTCATTTTTGTTTTAGTCTTTATTTTAAATTTTGATATTCAATTTTGAAATTCATGGAATTGGTCCTCGTTAATAAATAACATTAAAGTGTCACATCACCACTTCGTTTTAAGCCACATCCAATCTTGCCATGTTTATAATTAATTGATTATGAATTATTAATTGTAAACAGTGGATAATTACAAATTGTTTAAAACGTGTTAAAACTTAAGTTCATTTGTTTAATTCAAACTCTCAAATGATTTTACTTGAACTTGCTAGTTTCATAGGTTTCAAATCGAAAAAATAATCATCATTTCAAACTCATTTCAACAAAAATGATTCATGAGTTACTAAAGCCATAAAGAGAGGAAGCAAAAGAATAAAAAAGAGTTTTCTTCAATTTTTCAAGGTTAGATCAAGTTTGAAATATAAACTAAAATCAAAATCGTTTGATATTTAAAAACCTTATGTAAGGTCTCGAAAATTTAAAACCTCCACCTGTCAAATCACCCCATTAATGGTCTAAAACCCTGTCCAGAAATTTTATTAAGAAACGCACCCACACCCTCTCGTTCTGAACACCATTTAATGCACCCTCGCCACACGTGCAGTGCCAATAAAACGCACTCACACTCACTCTGCATGCAACTGCCAAGTGTCACTTTGGAACATTCGAAAACGTTAGTGGAATCCAAGTGGCAGAAGGTGAATGGACGTTCGTCCTACGTGGGGAGAGAAATTAATTTTCTGAAAAACACTCTTCCCACTCTTATGCATGCTTCGTCTTCTTCCCCAAACTTTTGATTTCCAAATTCTCTAACTTCTCTCTAGAACCTCCATCTTCTCTCTACCATAACTCACTTTCTTCTTCTCCGATCAAATTTCAGAGACCGTAGAAGAGATCCAGACGTCCTAAGCTTTCCATCAACCCGAACAAGTTCAAGTCTTGAATCTGGTAAGTTTGTCCCTTAGTTGTCCATTATTAGGTCTCATGCAAAACCAAATAGGGTTACTTGCATTCTCCTTGTCTGAATCAAACTTTGGTTCTGTAAATGGTTGTAGTTCGCAAGAGTTGAGTGATCAGAGGATAGAAGTGGTAGTTGGGCGAATCCAGAATTTACACGTTAGGACGTTCGTTCACTACTGGACCAGGTAAGGGAAGTTTATTAAGTTTAATTCATGTGTATGTGTTGTGCTGTATGATATTATATGAGTTGTGAAGCATGAAATTTGTGTTAATTGATCTTTGGTATATGATCTGGATGATGAAATGTTATATGGAATTCATGAAATGTGCTACGATATGAGTAGTTAAATGTATGAAAGTTTATACTGAAAAATGAGTTTACTGAAATTGAGATCTTGAATATGAAATGCTATGATAATGAACGTTCGTTATCGAACGGTCCTTGACCGTTCGGTATTTGTATAATTCCCTTGAAAAGCAGAATTCTTTCATCTGGAAAGAATACTTATTTAGGACGAACGCCCTCTTATACTAGTCTTGCGTTTGAGCGTTCGGCCAAACGTAGGTGCTCTGAGTGTTATGTGAGAAATTGAGAAGCTTGAAAAATATAAATTCTATACTCAGTCATTCTGGAATATTTCACCTCCCTATTGTTATCTTATAAATTTCTATTTCTATTAATATTTTGCATCAGCAATGGGTCTCGACCCAAAGCGTACGTTCTAAGTGGCGCTCGCTCTTATACCGAACGCTCATCCCAAAAGCGTAAGTTATAAGTAGTGCTCGCTCTTATACCGAACGTTCGTTCTTTATCCTTAATTACTAAATGGGTAGAAATAGCGTTCGTCCAAAATTTTCAGTAACGTTCGTCCAAAACTTCGATAAATACATATTACCGCGTTCGGTCATTGACTGGTGGTTAGTCTCTTTTATTAAATCGTACTCGGTATCAGTACCTAAACGCCTTGCGGTGTCTTTATCCATTTGGATTCGATCTATAGTTATTGAACTTAAATTATTCTAAGTATCATTTGAAGCGTCCTAGAATCAGTTCATTTAACTGATTCAAGTGGTCATAACGTCCGTCGTTGGAAAGACGTTCGTTCCCTTCCGTTCAGAAACGAGACATTCTCTGTATCATGGTAACGTTCGTCCTCATTATGAAGGGGGCTGAACGCTCGTCTTTTTATGAAACTAAATTGGAGTATGAAAATGATGTTACGTTGGAAAGTTAGTGATAATGAACAGTATATTAGATGAATCTATGGATGTGGAGTTTGAACGAGCGTTCCGTGGAGGAACGACTCTTGTATTGAATATGGAAAGTTGTATAGTATGACTGTGGTAAAGCTGCTGATGACTGTTCATCCTGATGTTCCGTGAGTGCTCGTCCTCAAGTAGAGGGGAGTAGGTCATGTGTGGGAACGGCAGGAGGTCCTAGTCCTTTTGAGTACTTTGGACTGATAGGGCTAACCTCGGGTGGCAGCTGATGGGTATTACCCAGCTATTTAATCCCCCGGGTGCATGAACGCCTGTAGATACACAGATTCATACAGTCCGGACGGTCTGTCTTATGAGAGTTCGAGCTGATTATATGTGTTGTGATATTTTATGAATGTTAATGTACTATTTGTATGAATTACTTGTGAATTAAATTCAATAAGCTTACCCTGTGTTATCTCCTTGTGTTGTCGTTCGTCTGTGTACGTCCGTCTTGTCTATGCAATGATCATCCGTGTGGATGTGAGCAGACGGAGAGGTGTTGCTTGAAGAAACTCTGGAAGAAGAAAATTTGGAGGACGCCAATCTGGTCGAAGTAGAGGTTAAAGCCGAGCCCTAGAACGCTCGTTTAGTTGTAGTCTTTAGTGTTTCTGTTTAGATGTTTGGACGTTCGGTTAAAGTTTGTAAAACCGTTCGTCTTTAAAATTTGAAATACTGTTGTATGGTGGTTTCTCTTTGTACTTAAGCAGCGTTCGTTTTGGAATTGTTATTATTAGTGTAAGACTGCATGTTTTAACTGTTAATTGTAATTAATTCTAAATTATAGTGATTACTGTATTTTGGGATGTTACACCTTAAAACATAATTAACTCGTAAGAATAAAATTATTTTATTAATTAACTATATAAGGTATTATGATTAATATAAAACAATATAAAAGTTAATTTGTTTAAAAAGTATTTACTGCGAAAATTCAATACTAATGAAACTTGAAACTTAATACCGTATTAGACTAAAATCCTAAAACAATCCGTTTAGAAAAAATATTCATAGACACCAAAAAGGTAATCAACACTTAATATATAGAGAGTAAAAATAATAGGTTTATAAGTTATATAATGTGATAAGAAAAGAGAGATAGAAATAAATAAAAAAACAAGGGTATAGTAGGAATAGACAAAAAGAAAGAGTCTATGTATAATTTGTCATAAATTTATAAGTCTTCTTTCCATGATTTACTTAACTTTTTTTTATATTCACTCAATATAATATCAAATTATTCAATTAAATAAAATTAAACTTTAGAATTTAGTTGAAAAATATAAAAAAAAAACTAGTAATTATTAAATTAATCTATTTTTTTTAATAAAAACTCATTTAAAAACACTTAAATTTATATATACATGTTAAAAAAAATTTATAATTTATGCATTAAAAATTTTACTTAAATATTGAAATTATTTTTTTAAAAGATTTTAATTTTAATAAATATTATCATTTTAATAATTTTTAAAAACTATTAAAAATATAATCGTAAAGTCACACTTGTAATTTTTTAATTTTAATATTTGAAATACAGATTTTAAACAAAGGAAAATACAATTTTTTAAGTTATTTCAAATAAACATTTTAAAAAAATATTATACATTTAAAATGTTTTTTTAATTTAAATTAAAAATAAATTAATTTGAATATTTAAAACTAAATTAATTTTAAGTATAAATTCTAATAAATTATCTATTTGTATATAAGTTATAATTATGTTTAAT